GCTGTGTTGTGCAGGCTCGGCAGCAAAGGGCCCAACGCCCCTGGCAGCTGGGGCACCGCGCCACCGCCGCCGCCGCCGCTCCCGTCCGTCTCGCCGCCACCGTCCACCGCTGCGCGCGAGGAGGGCGGCCGCGGCGAGCTGTCTCAAAGCGTGCGGCTGCTCGCGCAGCGGCGGCAGCAGGCAGCCGCGGGCGCCCCTGCCGGCACGGCGCCCAGCGACGCCGCCGGGCGCGTGCGCGACAGCGACGAGTGGCGCTCTGCGCACTCGAGCCTGGCGCTCCTGCGGAGCGGCGGCGGCAGCTACACTAGCAGCCTCGCCGCATCCGCGGCCGGCAGCGGCGCGCTGCCGCCCGCACAGCCGCACGGCTTCGGCCCCGGCGAGCATGTGGACCTCGGAGGTGGTGGGGGCGGGCTGGTGCCTTACACCGAGGATGTGCTGGGCGCGCTGAGCCTGTCCCGGTACCACCGGGAGCGCTCCATGCTGCAGGAGGCGCGCGCCGCGCAGCACGCGCTCGCCGCGGCGCGGCACGAGGGGCGCGCGGCGCAGCTGCGGGACAGGCGGCTCGCGGGGCTGGCGACGAGTGGGGACGGGGGCGGGGGCGGGGGCGGCGCGGACTCGCGTGCGCTGCCGCCGCAGGGCCCCGCCCATTCGGGCGGCGCGGCGCCTGAGGCGGCGGCTGCAGCGGCGGCGTTCGGCGGCGGGCTGTGGGAGGCGGCGGAGGCAGGCGGCACGGCCGGCGGCGGCGGCGGCACTCTGCAGTTGCCTGGATCTGGGTCACTGCCTTGGTCGTCCCTTGGGGGCCATCACCGATATGGCGTTGACTGACTGTCCCAGGTGCACCCACCCAACCATCCACACCCCAACCCATCCAACCGCACGCACCCGTGCCCCCATTGCCGTTAGCATTTGCTCTGCGAGCCCCGCCGTGCCGCAGGGCCGCCGACGATTCCCGTTGAGTTGCAGTCGCCGCCCTGCGGCGAGGCCCCATTTTCCCCGCGTGTACAGCACCCTTTGTGCTCGCCGCTGCCGCCGCACGGCATGCCCATGACAATACCGTGGTTGCGCAGCCAGCGAGCACCAGCCACCCCAGTTGGAGCTTGGCCCGCAGCGCGCCTCGACCATGCATGTCCGCTCGACGTCGCAGCATCCACATGACTCTTACGCAAACAGGAGGGCTGGGGCAGCCCAAAACCGATGTGACCTGACAGGCTGGACGCATGAGCGTGAGCCTTTGACCCACTGTGCTTACCCACATTACAACGACCCAGCGTCAAGCCAGCATGAGCCCGCAGCTGTAATCAAGGAAGCACACGTGCTGCTTGTCACAACCGGGTGCTGATGGCGGCGGTGTGGTCGGGTGCCATGGCGGTGGGTCTTGTGCACGTGCAGGGTGCCCTGGGCAGCTTGGCGCCCGCCGCACGCGCTGACGAGGCGTGACTCCTGCCAGCCGGTTTGCCGCCCGCTCGCTCGTCTCCCTCACCTACGACCTGAGCTATTGACAACCTGCCGCCACCCTTCAGCACTAGGACTATGGCAGCAAGATTTCAAGTGTGCTGCAGGGCGCCGAGCAGTACTGCAGTCGATTTCATCCCTGCTGAGCCGCTTCTCAAGCTACCGTATCAAAGCATACATCTGTTTTGGCAGGTTCTTGCAGCAGATTAACTCTTGAGCAGGGCAAACGTGCAACAAGAGATGCGATCACCTTCTGCCAACAAGCTCACCCCCTCGTCAGTCAAAGGATTGTACAAACACACATACTGATTGCGCGTCAACGTGAATGGCGACTTCCAATCACGTAAACCAATATTGCAAGTCACCACAAATGGCGAGTGAGGTGACAATTACTAGTCACGAAACAGTCAGCTCTGTATCTTGCTGTGGCTGCCACCACCATGGTGGCGCAGCGCAGCGCGCGGCGCCAAGAAGTCGGTGCCCGCCCCTCCCCAGCTAGACCGCCGGTATAAGAGCCCCACTAGGGTGGGAGGGAAGCTGAACGGCAATACCGGCGGGGGCCTGTAGCAGAGGCCGCTGCGCGACCAGCTGGGGCGGTCGTCGCATCGGTAGCCCTTCAAGCCCCAGTAGTCTGCGGGGTGATGTCAGAAGCGGAGGCGAAGGCAGGGGTCTGGTCAAAAATTAGGGAACCATGTCACTGGTTGTGTTTTTAATGCAAGCACAAGCGATTCAAGAGTGTGCGTATCTCGACTTTCAGCAGCAGCACGAAATAAAGCATTGGCTGCCGGTCACGATGTCGGCCACAGCAGGCGGCGACAGCTTGTGATGTGGTGTGGGGAGTGCGCGTTGGAAGCGGCCACCCAGCACAAGCTGCCATCCAGGGCTGGCGTCAAAACTCACCAGTGCAGGTGGAGTGGTCCGCGCAGCTGCGGCACCGCGTGTCCCCCTGCGGCCGCAGCGCCGCGGCGCAGCGATCGCTGACGACGCACTCCGGCAGCCGCAGCGCCGCGGCCGCGTGGGGGCCGAGGCTCTCGCCCAGATGGCGCAGGAGGGCGTCAAACAGCAGCTGGGGGAAGTGGTGCGAGAAGGAGCTCCACTCCGCAAACTGCAGCGAGGGCGGTTGAGTCACGGAAGAAAGGATGGCAGAAGCTTCAGGGGTAAGCGGGCTGTGAGGAGCTGCGCATGCAGCTACGCTTGGGTTGCTGGCATGAGCAGCGGCGGGCGGCAAAGAACACGGTGTTCATACCAAGAGCAAAGCGCTAGCAACAGAGCTGGGGCCAGGCAGGACGATTGGGGGCTTTGCTGTGGCCGGATCCCCGGGGAAACAGACGTCGCGCTTGGGGCGGAGCTGCTGGGCTGGCCCCTGCCCACCGTTGACATAACAGGGTAGGGATACAAGGGGATGCGCCACCGCCGGTCCACGTCATCCTGCGGCGATGCAGTGAGGGCACTCAAAGGGGCGAATTCCCATGAACACACGAACACACACACACACGCACGCACACACGCACGCACGCACACACTATACACACTCACTCCAACACATCAACACTCACAGTCACATACAAACGTTCATGATACACATGCCACAGCCATATACCTGCACGTTGGTTTGCAGCACCTGGCCCCCTTTCAGCACGCACCGACGAATAAGTTGCCAACCCCATCGGCGATCGACCCATCCCCCCTTTCACCTCGGTCTCCATGTCTGTGCTCCTGGGGAATGGCGTGAGCCCCTTGCACACGTTCACGTGGTCCTCCCCCAGGGGCAGCGTCACGAGCTGCTCCAAAGGCCGCCCCTCGACTGGGCAAAGCCTGCGCACACAGCAATGTGCGCCGGTCAGCAGCAGGCGCCGCGGGGCGCGTCGGCTCACGGCGCGGCGCGGGTCCGGGCAGGCGGGCAAGTGCATCGGCGCGCGGCGGCCGGCGCGAGATGTGCACATGCAGCGCGCGGCCGCCAGGTGCGGTGCTGGTTTTGATTGGTGGCTGCCAGGCCGCGGGGCGCGTGCTGGCGTGCTTGAGGCCCCCTCCCGCAGCCCACCAGTAGGCGCGGCCCGGGAACCTGAGGCCCATCGCCATGTTGGACACAAGGTTGGCATTCTCTGCAAATACACAGGGCCCGGGGGAAAAGCAGGAGGCGCGTCCGTGCAAGCAGCCATGCGAGGAGGGCCGTCAAAGTCAAGGCAGGCCGAGCTTGATCCCGAGCCATCAATGTTCACCCCAGCGCACGTGGCGGCAGGCGCGCGGGGGAGCTGCGCCGGGCGCGGACGGGCGCGGCGCAGGCGCACCCAGGCCGTAGCCGAAGCGCGTGGTGACGGGTCCGAGGAGAGTGTCGTAGAATGCTGCAAACCCCGCGCTGCCGACGCGGTCAGAGTTGAACAACAGGACGCCGCCGACGCGGCCGGGGCCGGCCAGCAGCGCGAGCCGCAGAGCAAAGAGCTGCGAGAGTGCGCCGCCGGAGCTGTGGCCGGTGAGCCAGATGCGGTGGTTGGGGCGGTCTGCGGGGTCCATCTTGGGGGGTTGAGGGTTTTGGGGGTCAGAGCGGGGACAGTGTTGGCAGCTTACAGCCAGCAAGGGAGTTGTTGTTGATGCTTGCCACAAACACGTGAACATGTGCCCTGCAGGGGCTTGTACCTGATGCCGTGCGTGTGCGCTCATGCAGCGATGGGCGCACATGCCAAGCCTCTCTATTATCGACGGCCGAGCGACCGCCATGGTGGCGCGCGCGCCCCCACCTGCGCGACCAGCGCCGCCACCGCCCGAGTCAGAGCGTCCTCGAGCAGGAGCAACACGCTGTAGTCTGCGAGCGGCCAGGCACAGCGTGTGACGACGCACGCGGTCGGTTGCGACTAGGTTGGGCAGGGGGAAATGTGGGGTTGTTTACGGCCGCGGCCCTGGGCAGCATTTATTGGATTGCCTACATGTCAAGCCCTGGTGCTGGCTGCAGGTCGCGCGCTCCCATCTTATCTGAGTGGCTGTAGAGGCTTAATGAGCTGGCTTCATCGGAGTGGCGAGGCAACCATTTTGCCGCGGGACTGGGGCGGCATGAAGGTCGCAGGTCAGGCATGAACCCAGTAAGGGCAACCTGCAGATCGCCGCTGCTCTGCCTTATCATTCAGCTTTCAAAGCCCACCCCATCCCATGCCAAACAGCAGCAACAACTCATTGTGCAGCGCTTTGAACACATCCCAGAGGACACGATCTAACGAATCCACCCACCCCTCCGCAGGACCCAGAAGAGGTCAGAGTCTGCAAACGGCCGGCGCGTGCGGTACTCAGCCAGCCGCAGCTCAGGGGGCAGCGGCGCCCCCGGCGGTGGGGCGCCAAAGTAGTCGGCGGCGTACTCTGGCGCCACGTCAGCATAGTTTTGGAAGCTGCCCGCCCCGCTCATGCCCCTGCGCCCGGGGTGGGGGGGGGTGCTGTAGGGTGCAAGGGGAGATGCATAGTGCGACCGCGGCCGTGCAAGGAGAGGAGACAGGCGTGGTGCCGGAGGGAAATGCATGGCGACTGCGGAGGCGATCAAGCCACTGCATGAAGCAGCTGACTTATGGTGCGTGATGCCAGCGAGAGCGGCAGCCAGTCGGGCTGTCTCGCATGCCGTCCGGCACAATGTCAGCGGCTCATCATTATGCCGCGCTGCCGCATGGCACTCGCCGCAGAGGCGGCCTGCCCAGGCTGCCTCGTGCCGCCCAAGGCCCACCTGAACGCAACAATTACGTCCCGCCTCGTCCTGAACACGAGCGCGCGCCGCTCAGGGTCCCCGGGCGCCCATATCTCCGTCGGGGGCGCCGCCGCCCCCCACGCGGCCAGGCAGGGGCCCGGGTCGCGCCGCGGCGTGCCCGCGACGTGGTCTCGGGGGTATGCCATGTCTGACAGCGCCAGGAAGGCCGGGGCGTAGGGGCCGAGGTCGGCGGCGGCTGAAGCGGGCAGGTCGGCGAGAAGGGCGGCTGGGGGCGCCCCGCCGCCGCGGCAGCCAGAACAGCTGCTATTGCTGCTGCCACTGCCGCTGCCGCGGTCGTGGTCGCGTGAGGGGGGTGGCGGCGGCGGTCGCGGCAGCGGCGCGCGCATCGAGGCGCGCCAGGCCGGCGGCGCGGTTGGCATGGCGGCCGTGGGGCGGGGCCCGCCTGCAGGTTGGTGGCCAGGCAGGAGGGCGCAAGGACTGAGCTCCTTGCAGCTCGGATGATTGAGCCAAGGATGTTGAGTTGCGTAAACATATACATTCCGTAGGTTGCTTGCCTATCACAAGGCACCACGGCTTGCAGGAGCGCCCACCTGGCCATGGGACTGCCAGCAGAAGCAGCGCCAGCACAACCCGCACCGGCGCTGCGGCAACGGGGTTGTCACTGCGAGCCGTCAGCAGCGGCCTGCATGCCTCTGTCATCGAATGGATCTATAGTGACGTTATGCCTGCCACCACATGACCCGTGGGCAGCTTAGAGGTTAGTTTACACACTCGCTGCAAATGACTGCCAGCACGCACGACGTGACATATCGCCTTGAGCCAATGCGTTATGCTACTGCTGACTTTTGCACCATACACGATTTTGAATGAGCAGTGCTCACGGCAGGGCCGCAGCTTCCTAATTCAAACTTGGAGCTGGTGCTGGAGGACCCAGTGATGGCGCAGGTGAGCTCGAGAAGCTGGCGCAGCGAGTGTCATGAGAGAAAGCTCTGCAGCGATATGAACAGCCCCAGTAGGATGGCAGGCCTCAGTTTCAAGTCGTCATGGTCCCATCATCAGCTGGGGCTGCAAGCGGAGCTGGTGCCGCTGCCGGCGAGGAAGGCGTCCGGGCGCCACGTCAGAGAGGGAGAGAGAGAACCAGAAGAGAGGCGCGCGCCGAGCGCAGCCACCCCTGCAGGCAGCCAACAGTGCGCCACCGTCAAGCCAGGCCCCGGGCTGACACCTGGCCCGCACGGACGCCGCTCCTCCATCGCTGACAGCGCCGGGGGAGCAGGGCGCATCCGGATGCTCCAGCATGTTCAGACCTCATTGCAATTACCATTACCATTTGTGGGCGCCCGGGAAGTCCAGCTGTCAAGCATCTGGCGGTTGTACAGGCCACTGCCGCTCTGCCAGTCGTCATGAGGCCGCCTCATGCAGAGCACAGTGCCTGCAGACTCATTGACAGCTGTCCCGCATGGCCCACATGACAAGTTGAGGGGATCGGCGGCGGAGCGAGCAAGCTAGGCGGTCACGGGCCGGGCAGCTGACACACGGCCTGTGCGCCCTCTGTGGACAGGGGTGCCGTCTCGCATTACACGCGACGCGCAAGGTCTCGTTTCATACTGCGGCCGCAAAAACACAACGGTGCAGGAGGTAAAGCCGACACGACCGCCGAGAGCCCACTGCACGGCGGTGGGACGCGCGGCCACCGGCCGCCCAGGACGCTGCGCGCGCCGCCAGCTCGAGGCGCTGGGCGGCGCGGCGAGGCGGCGCCATGCGCCCGACGCGCACGCCGGCGGCGCGCGCGGCAGCAATGTGTATGTGCATCAGGGGTCATTCTGATGAGGCTGCGCCAAGGCGGGTATGGGGCCCCGCCAGCTACCGCACCACGGGCCCAACGTGGACACATGATCTGAAAGGCGCCGCCCGCGCTCCTAAAAAGCGGGGGCGCCGCGCTCAAAACCGACGGCGTCGCCGCCATGGGCAGGGGCAGCTACGGGGCGCCTAGGCGCGCGGCCAGGCCCGCACAATCCGCAGGCGCCCCGTTGGCGGGAGAAGCCCCGGACCCGCGGCGGGCGATCAACAAAAAGGCTGCCGCCTATGTGGGGCGGGCCCGGCCGCCGCGGCGCCGCGCGGCGCGCGTGGAAGGCGCGTGGCGCGGCTGCGGCGGCCGCCTGAACAACACGCGCGCGGGGGAGCGAGGCGCGGGGGCTGGCGCACGCGCAACCCGCCCGCGCGCGCACGCGCACGCACCCGCGCCACGTTCATCAACATGTAGGCGCCCTCGATCCCTCACGCGCATGGCCAGGCGCGATCGAGATCTTTGCACAGCTCAGGAGCCCGTATAGAAGGACACTCAAGGCTTCCAGAGCCAATTCCCCTTTGACAAGGCGTGCGCCGGCACACTTGCCCGTCCTGGGCAGCGCGGCACCGAAAGCGTAAAAGAGGGGTGCGGTTTCTGAACCAGGCCAAGCCTCACAGGGAAACCCGAGCCCATAGGTCCAAAACACGCTCCGCTCAAATGCGCCTGGCGCGCCGCCCGCCCGCCTGCCGCCGCCACTGCTACTGCTGCCACCGCCGCTGCTGCTGCTGCTGCCGCCGCTGCTGCCGCTGCGCCGCCCCCGCCCTCCCCCCGCAGCCCCTTGTGCGGGCCCGGGGCTCGGGAACGGCGGGCGCGCGCGGGCGCGGCATCCGGCGCGCTCACGGCTCGAAAGTGGCAACCTGCTCCTGCCCGCCCATCGGCGCGCTGTACACGCCCTCCGCCGGCGGCGGGTACGCGCCGCCGCCCGAGTAATCCCCCTCCAGCTGCGCGAGGCTGGCGTTGTCGGCCGCCGCGACGCGCTCCTTGAACATCTGCGCCATCCTGTCGGCGTTCTCAAACACCTTCTGGGGGTCGCGCAGCATGTCCCCGGGCTCGGGCTCGAGCTTCTTGGTGCTGAGGGTGACGCGGCCGCGGTCACTGTCCTGAGACAGGATCATAACCTTGAGCTTGTCGCCCTCGGCCAGGACCTGGGGGGCGGGGGAAGCGACAGCCGTGTGCATGTGTGTGAATGTTTGAGAGAGAGGGGGAGAGAGAGAGTGCGCACGCGCGCATCAGACTCGCAATGGGTAGTTGTGATGATGCAACGAGTCAGGGGGGGGGGGCCCAGCCACGGCGACAGCAGGACCCAAGCCCTGCCTGGGCCCTGGGGTGCGTTGCGTGCTACACTCGGGCACAAAGCGCGCCCGACCCCGTCGCAAGCGTCGGTGCGGCAGGCGCGCCACAGGATCCCCCACCTGGTCGACGGTGGTGAGCCGCTCGTGGGTGATCTGGCTGATGTGCAGCAGGCCAATCGCGCCGCCAATGTCCACAAACGCGCCGTAGGGCCGCACGCTCTGCACCACGCCAACCACCACGTCGCCAACCTGTTTGCAGGGCGTGGATACACGACCAACCAGACGCGGTTCAGAATCGATGCTACGCAAGCAAGCGGTGGCGCCTCTACGAAGCACAGCCACGCTCGAAGCGGATGCGCCGCGCCGCAACCGTGGCGGCTGCCCCCGACCACCCCCCACCCCGACCATCGCGCCGCGGCCCAAGCCCGGCCGCCGCACCTTGTACCCCTGCATGTCTGCGCTGCTGCTGGCGCGGCGGTGGCTGAACACCAGGCGCTCGCTCTCCTCGTCCACCTCCAGGAACTTGGCGGGGATGTCGTAGCCCACAAAGGTCTCCATGTTGTCGGCATTGATGTTCTAGGCGCGTAGATGACATGATGAGAGCGTGGGGTGGGGAGAGAGAGGGGTTTGTGGCGAGGGCACACAGGGTGTGTGCGGGTATGGAAGGGCATGCGCTAGTCGCCGATGGCAAGGCTCAAGTGGCGGACTGCCAAACGAGGCAGCGACAGTTTGGTCCTGTCGGGCGGCCATTGCCGCGTGGCGCGCCATCCTGGATTCAACTGCCGCTGATGTGTCTTGAGCGACGCGTTGCGAAGCTGCCATGCCAATGGGGCCAATGGGGGTCTGCTGTCCCTCTGAGTCGCCAACACCACAGGACCCAGCATGCGACGCCCGTCCAGAGGACAAAATGAGCGATGCACCGCGCACTGAGCCAAACGCTGCACAAGGCCATTTCCCAACACCTCAATCGCCGCCACGCCGTCGTCGGTCCGACCATGGTGCTAAGCTTCTCCCACACCCAGAACAGCCCGTGAAGCCTGCTGACAAGCTGCGTCCGCACTCCCACCATTGCCGCTGCAGCCCCTAGCCCGCCGTCCGCGCCTGCACGCCCCTGCACTACCCCCTTCCTCTATGACTGGAAAACGCACCTGTGCGAGGTGGCTGACGGGGATGAAGCCCTCCAGGTGGGCGTACTGCACCATAAGGCCACCGCGGTTGGCGCCCACCACGGTCACCAAGACGGGCACGTCCTCCTCCTGCAGCTGCCGGATGCGCTGCCAGAAGGTTTGCGCCTGCGTGGGCGGGCGCGCGTGCGTGGACGGGGCGGGATGGCGCGGCGCTTGGCATGCAAGGGGGGGGGGGTTTGGTCTGCAGGCCGGGCAGCCGCCGGGCGGCCCCGCTCAAACGACGGGCCGGCGCGAGGACTGGCGCACAAGGAGGCAAGCAATGGCGATTGCCGGTAGCATGCATGATGCGCAGAGCCAATGGGGCGCATTGCACGAATAGAGCGCGCTGCGACGGCGGCGCAGCGCAGACCACGCGCTCGCGACGCGCACGCAGTGAACCGGCCGCACCTCAATGGCCGCCAGCGACAGTATGATCTCCCCATATTCGTCCTCGTCCTCCGCCACCACGAACTCGCGCTTCATGCCCGGACGGAGCACCTCGAGAGGCTGCAGTGCAAAAGAGCGGGCCGTGAGGCGAGCCTAGGACCGAGGGCGGACTCGCAGCGGCCCCAGCGACCTTCAAAAGGCTCTCACCGTCTTAAGCTTGCCCAGGGAGCACTCGATGAGGGGCACAAAGCCGGCGGACTTGGCACCAATCTCCACATAGGCACCGTCGTCGTCCACCTCATAGACCGTGCCGTAGACCTTGTCCCCGACCTTAAAGCTGGCCTCGCTCTCCTCCAGCAGGGTCTCCACCTCGTCATACAGCTCGGCATACTCCTCGTCCCCCACCTCCTCAAGGTCCTCCATCTCATCGAGGTCCTTCTCCTGCTGGTCGCTATCAAGGAAAAGCATCCATTTGAGGAGGTCCTCCTGGGCGGCGTCGAGCTCGTGAACGGCCAGGGACTGCTCGAGCTCGGGGTCGGCCACGGACAGGGCCTCCGGCTGCTGCTCACTGGGCTGATAAGTGCTGGGCTGATCGATGGCTGCAACGCTGAGCCTGCGGGCGCCGCTGCTGCTACGCTGCTGCAGTGGGCGCACACACTGCCTTCGGGCCTGCTGGCCCACAGCGGGCAGAGCCCCAGTCCTGAGTGCGAAAGCCATGGTTTGAATGCTGCGGGGTAAAGGGCCACCGAATGGGCGACTGTCGGTCTTGAGGCGGCATAGCAAAACGCACTGCCCGCACAATGTCTGCTGGGCTTGGTGTGCCCCCACCTCATTCTGTTAGCTCGATGCAGCGTGCGAATGTTGATGAGACTTTAGTCACCCATATGACCCCGGAAAGTGACGCAGCCGCGGTCAATGACGCGTGTGACGGTGGCCAACGCACTTCGCGCCGAGCCTGGGGCCAAGGGGGCATTTTATCTGAGGTCTCAATTCGCGAGGGTTCGAGTTTTGTTTGCGCGCTCGAAACCATCCACAGTGCTCTCTGGGCAGGCACATGCGCGCTTCGTTACACATGAGCGCTTTGTCGCACGCCCCGCATGGGCTGCGGCACAGCTCACTGGACAGCGTGCCAGCATCCGGGCGCGGCGCTCTCAACGCTGCGTGTGGAAAATGTTGGGACGGGGCGAGGGGAAAGTACACCTACCTCTGGTCAGCCCTCACTGAATGAAGGTTGAGCCAACGCTGCTATTTACAGCACAACTGAGACCCTGCATGATGTAAGTCAGCCTGCGGTCCCTTTTGTGTGTGGGAACCTTGGCTTTGTGCGCGAATGTCCTAGCTTCACTGCTCCCCCAATCACCCAAACTCCTGCTCATGGTGAGAATGCCAGGCAGCTCCTGCAGACATAGAACATACCGCACGCAACCCTCCCCTGTGTGCGTGTGCATGCAATAGTCAATAGTCAACCCTGCAAGCAACTGTCCAGGAAGGTGCAAGGATACAAACTCAGGAAGCACTTTTGCTCTTCATGCTCGCACAGCAGCTGCGAGGCTGTGGCGCGTCTGCACCATCAGACCTGCAGGGCCATCATGTTGGGCTCCCCATCAAGCAACGAGCCCGTCACCAGCCGAACGCGCACGCCGTCCGCCACGCGCAGCAGCGCCACCGCGCCGGGCCCGCCCCGCTTCCCTGCGTGCAGGCTGACCGCGAGCAGAGCCCCCTCCCCTTTCGTGCCCTCGGCCCCGCCGCCGCCGCGCGCTGGGATGCAGCAGACGTCCCAGGGCTTTGCGGCAGGGCAGGCCGCGTGCAGCGAGCTGGTGGCGAAACGGCGCAGCTCTGCGCCGGGCGCCACGCGGCGCGGGCCCGCCACCTGCACCACGGCGCCGCCGTCGCCAATGCACGTGACCCAGAGGTCCCCTGACGCGTCAAAGCAGACGCCGCTGGGGCGCGGGAGCTTGACCGTCGGCGGCGTGAAGCGGCGCCAGCACGAGACGGCGCCGTCGGCGGCGAGCTCCGCCGCCATGATGCGGCCTGTGAAAAGAGAGTATCATGCGCGGGCAGCAACGACAGGTTGGGCCCAAGTGGCGAGGCAGCCAGAGGTGCGGATGCAGGTGATGACAGGCAACGCGCTCGAATGATGGCACTGCGGTTGGGCCAGGAACAACATGTGGGCTTGATAGACAACCGCCACACCCAGCAAAGCGCGCCATGCGGTCGTCAGCCGCGCGGATGGTCGTCTTGCCAGGGCGCGCGCACGACACCCTCGCAGGCGCACAGCCATCCTGCATTTGTCAAAACACGCACCGTCGGTAGCGCCGGCGGGCGGCGGGTCGGTGTACTCTCGGGAGTCATAGTCTAGCTCAGCCGCAATGAACAGCTGCCGCGCACAAGACCCGGACGCCGCCGCGACTGTTCGAGACTCGAACGCCGCCGCGACTGCTCGAGTCGCTGCCGCGCCGCCAGGCGCCGCTGGCTCGGCAGCTGCCAGGCATTTGGCTGGAGCAGCTCCCGCAGCTTCGCCATCCGACGCCTCAGGCGTCGCTCCTGCAGGCAGTTCAGTGGAGACCCCCGCTGCATCAGTCGCCAGCACACCCGCTGCGTGCTGCACGCCGCGTGCCGGCCCCATGGACGCCGCAGGCGCCGCTGGCGGGGCGGGCCCCGGCGGCGGCCATGCGGCCATGCCCCACGGCACAAGCGCCCACGGCTGCGGCGCATCCCCGTGCTGGGACGCCTGAGGCAGGGAGCTGGAGGAGAGGAGCGCGCCGCTCGCGGCGTCCAGCTGCGCCAGCGTGCCGTTAATTGTCACGACATACAGGAACCCGTTTGAGGCGAACGCCAGGCCCTCCGGCCCCGCCAGCGCCCGCTGGCTTGCCACCACGCGCCGCGCCGGCTGCGCCCGCCGCGCAGCCCCCGCCGCCCCGGCCCCGCTCCGCCGGCCGCGCGGCGGCGCGGAGGGCGCGGCCAGCGCCATCACGCCGGACACGGAATACTGGCAGACGTGCAGGTGGCGCGTCCAGGGGTTGAAGGCGATACTGGTCGGCCAGCTGGGCGTCGCGCGCGCACGGGACCGTGCGGGGCGAGCGCCGGCGCCTGCGGCCGTGCGCTTGCGTGGTGGCGGAGGCTTTCGGATGCAGTGCGCCACGGCGGGTTCCCCGCCGTCCAGTGGCACCTCTACGAGCTCCGAGGTGCCGCTGCACGCGACGAACAGCCGCGGGCGGTAAACTGCTGCGGACTGCGCCGCGCCGCTGCCACCGGGGGCGTCCAGGCAGCGCACGGCTGCAGCGAAAGCGCGGCAGCAGGCGGCCAGCCGGGCGGCATCGCTGCGAGTCAAGCAGCACAGCACGTGCACCAGCAGGTCTGGGCGGTCGCAAAGCCCGGCTGCCAGGGTGTCAAGCGCAGGCTGTGTCTCTCGTGTAGGTCTCATAACAGTGCGACAGTCTCTGGCAAGAAGATGAGGAGCGTCAGCAGCCCAGCTTCACAGACTGCACCACTATTGCACGTTGGATCACTCCGCTGCCGCAGGTTCATCAAACATATACATTGGCGCCATACATCGTCACAGTGCAAACCATTGATCATCCCTCGCTCTGTTGTCCCTGCCAACCACCAGTGACCGGAGTGTTCGTCACCTTTTGTTCGCCGTGAGCCTATCTGCAATGGCGCCCTACACGCTGTTCGATAACCCCCTGGCTTATTTTCCTGGCAGGGCGCGCTTGGCGCTTGTTGAGAAGAAGGTCAGGCGGGGGCGCCACCACGACAGCTAGCGCTCATCGAGCGTGCGCGAGCGCGCCGAGGGCAGCCGGCGCCGCTGGCAGCTGGGATCTAGCGCATGCTGTAGCACGCTATCATCTGCTGGGATGCGCACGGATGAGCGCCGCAAGCACACACCACGCTGCTGGTGCCCCGCTGCATGGTGCAGCAAGGTAGTTGCCAGCACACTCCCCGCGGTTTCATGCACGGCCACCCACCTAGCCGGTCGCCTCGCCACCTCAGGTGCCGTTTACTAGTAAGGTCGTCAACCTCTTCAATGGGGACAGCCTCAAGCCAGAGTATTTGAGGGTGAGCCGGCCTTGCGCACATGAGCGTACATGGGCATTTGGCCCTTTGCACACGCATGCGTTGGGAGGCGGGCACGATTTTGCCCGGCTGCGCCATTACACACAGCAAACGAGTGACACCTAACTTCCAGCCACCTGCATGGCTCGTACTTGAGGCATGTGATGCTTCTTTTGTGCCTGCACAGTGTGACTTTGCATGTCTGCCTGGACTGAAGCGGCTGACAGCAACTGCTAGTGAGGGGGGGGGGGGCGCGCGTGTTGACCGCCAAGATGAGTAACACCGTTGCCTCCGGCGCCTCATCATTACAATCAAGCCACTGGCTCTTCACGCACTACAAACCCATGCCTGCCAGATCAACCCCGCAGGCACCGTGCCCTCGCTCGCCGATGCAGACAGCAAGGTGCTGTTCACCCAGAGCAGAGAGATACTGGAATTTGCAGACAAGTACGGCGACAACCCCCTGGGAGCCCCTGGCGCCGACCCAGCTCTTGTGAAGTCCTGGGTCGACAAGGTCGCAGAGTGAGCACTGCAGATCAGGGGCCGCCGCATGGTGTCAGCAGATAGTGACGACAGCGTCAGATGACGGCCGCTCACCGGCGCCGCAAGGGCCCCCTGCAGCAGTCGTCGTGAATATGCTGGTACGCACTAGCGACATGAACCCTGCGCCATGCTGACCGCCCCGCCCCGCCCTGACCCGGCCGCAGCTGGGACGGCAACCTGTACGTTGCCGGCAACGCGCCTTCGGCTGCGAAGCTGCTCGGCAGTCTCACGGTGCGCTGCGGTCGCCGATGTGCTGCCCTTGAGCGCGCACGCATACGTCCTCATGCTGCACACGATCCCTCATTGACACTGAGTGCACCCTCATTGACACTGACGACAACCTCATTGACACTGCTTTATGTTGATCACATGTCCACACCGCCTGTTGCAAACACCCCTTCCTCCTCGCAACCATGCTGACCAGTGCACCTCTGCCCTGAACCTTGGGTCTCTCCAACCCCAGGAGTTCAAGATCAAGTTTGCTCAGGCACGTGCAAAGGATGCCCCCGACCTTGGGGACATCTATGCGAAGAAGATCGCCGCCATGAAGGCTGCCGGTAAGCACAGCGACGGCCTCCTCCAAACAGCCAAACCCCCGGCGCATGCGTGCAAGATGCATGACCGGGCTTTTCATGGCAAAGTGATGTTTAGAGGCAAGCCTGTGCCCTTTGGCACCATCTGCGGCGATAGAGGGGCGCCTGTCCAGGTCTTTGATGCGCCGACGTTGCCTTCACACTATGTGTGCACCCCCCCCACACACACACCTGCTTCCCTGCCCGCTGCCCAGGGGAGGAGGGCAAGAACCCCCAGGCTGTTGAGGCCAACCGCAAGCAGCTGGTGGCGATCCTGGACGACGCCGAGGCGCAGCTGGCCAAGACGCCCTACCTGGCGGGCACAGAGTACTCCATGGCTGATGTCATTGTGACGCCAGTGATATTCCGCACAGGACTCACGGTGGGTTTGGGGGAGGTGGCGTCGCGAATGCAGGACGGGAGCACGGGGGTCAGGAGCGTTGGTTGGCAATTGCATGAAGAGGACTTGCCCAGGTTCACGTGCACAGAGGGCTGAGCAGTGCCAGGTGCGTCTGTACAGTTTTGCGAGCAATTGCACGCTGATCATGTCATGTTTGTTTCGATGACTGCGCACACTGCAACCTAGCATGTGCACGCGGACCTTCCCTTCCGGATCCGCAGGGGCAGACCAAGGAGCTGCTGTCGCCGCGGCCCAAGGTGTCAGAGTACTACAACCGCATGAAGGCGCGCCCCTCCTTCCAGCAGGTGTTTGGTCCAGCGCTCAGCGGCAGCACGGCAGCCACTGCGATCCTGCCGGCGCTCTTCAAGGCCTGGCTGGCTGGCGTGACTGGCCGGTACTGAGAGGGACGGTGGCAGCCTCGTGTTGCTGTGCCGAGCGTTGGGAAGTGCAATCTAAGCATCCCAAACCAAGATACCAGTGCGAAATGAGCAATGAAGAGCGCTGCTGCTGAGTCTTCAATCACTTTTGTTGACGGCATCAAAACTGGCGGGCTTGTAAGTGAGGGGACGCGCCCATCTTGTAAGTGAGACAAGGCGCGATGCTCGCAGCATGTGACGTCACCCAAGCTACCCTACTACAGGAGTAGTTCGAGCTTTGCATGCTTGGTCTGATGCTGTGCCCGCCACCTTGTGCTTGCACCTGCATGTGGCCCTGCTCGTCGTCCAAAAGGCACGCCCGCCTGTAAGCAGGAGTCCTGAGCAATCTGACAAAATCGTGGGTTGTAGCTGAAGCTTGCAGTACCGTACAATAAGCAGCTGCTTCCGCTGCTTTCATGTTGCTGCTTACAGTGCCAAAGACACTGGGTTTAATCAGCTGACTGTTGCGCGTGCTGCTGGTGGCTACTGTCTGCAGCAACGTGGCACATGTTCCATCTGGGAGCTTCAACCTGGCTTCAACAGCTGGAGTCGGCACCACCAGCTGCGCGGGACGCGCCTGCAGCCTCACGCACGGGCACTTGTCCAATGGGCTTCGGTACCATCCAAATGTCCAACAATTGTTCCACCACCCGGATCGGGGCAGGTACGTTTGAACCATCTGGCAGTGCCCCAGATCGTTGCCGCCGGTGGACCGCGGGTCTGGGCCGCGCAATCGACTATAGTCAATCATAATTTGGTCATCGGCACGACCGGCCAATACACGGGCCCGGAGATGCGGTGAGGCTGGCCAGGGCAGAGCATATAAGCGAGGTGAGCGGCCCACGTCGCCCACCCTACGGTCGGATTTGTCTAGAAAGGATGCATCAGGGGCGGCGAGGGGTCCAGGAGGCTCTCGCCTCTGCTGCGCCAAGGTGGCGTGCTTGCTCATGCCGACAACGCTCCGCACACCCAGGGGCGCCGCTGCCATGGGGTCGGAGATCGATGAGCGCTTCGAGTTTGACGCGCCCCGGTTCTATGACTTCCAGACCATGACCTCCGACTGCAGCCCTGCGGACGTGTGGTTTGACACTGCTCCCGAGGGACCTGGCAAGCGGCCGGCAGGTGCGTGACCAGCGTGGGCGCTGCCCTCCGCGAGCCCGACACGCTACACCCTGCTCCTGCCTCTAACCCGTACAGCGAAATGCACGAAAATCCTGTTGTGCATCATTAAGGTGAATGCGACTGCCCTTGTTGGCATTCTGCTGACCGCACCACGGCATATGCCCCGTTGCTGCACCCCCCCCACACACACACAGGGCCTGACGGTAACCGCGAGCCGTTCAAGAGCCTGCAGACCGGCGGCGACCAGGGCGCCACGCAGCAGGGCGAGCCGCCGGCCGCGCAGGCTCCCAAGGTGAGGGGATTCCCACCACCGCGCCGCTCCCTCTTGTCGCAGGGGCAGACGTGGCGGCCATGCAGACCTTGGTCACAAGCTTTACCTCCACGGCCTGTGCGACCCCTGGGAACAGAAATCAAGCATAGCTTTTGACTTGGGAGGTGTACGGTCAAAAGCTTGAAGACGATAGCTTGCCCATGATTGTGCAAACTCGCAACTCGCATCCGGCCCTCATCCCTTGCCCAGGAGAAGAGCAAGACAGCAGATGCTGGCGACGCGGCCGCCGGCCCCTCCAAGACCCAGAGCGCGTCCAACATTGTCACCTCCTGGGGTGACGCCACCCGCGCCGGCATCAAGCGCACGCGGTCCCAGGCGGACGAGAAGCCGTCTGCGGGCGAGCAGCCCCCTGCTCGCGGCGCCGGCGCACATGCCACCGGCGCCCAGGGGCCCTCCACCACGCGCAGCGCCGCCGGGCCCGGCGCTCACGGGACCGGCGCCGCTGCTGCGGGCGCTGCAGGGCCCAGCTCCCGGGGCCCCAGCGCCGCCGACGCCGGGCCCTCGAGCCGCGCGCCGCCCGCGGCCGGCGACGCCGGCGCGGGCGGCCACAAGGCGCGGCGCGTGAGCGCGCAGCCGGCGGCGCCGGCGTCGGCGGAGAAGCGTGCGGAGCCGCCGGTGACGCGCAGCATGTCGCGGCTGCTGCGGCTCGCGTTCACGCCCATCCCTGAGCGCAAGGCGAAGCACTTCAGGTGGGCAGCGCTCGCCAGCTTCATCCACAAGAGAGTGTAGGCAACCATGCGCGCTTGGCCAGCCGTCCTCCACACTTGGGCACCGCCTCTGCAACACTTCATTCACGCCCGCGACCACTGCTTTGCTCCCCCTCTTCCAACCGCCTGCGCGGCCCCGCGCGTGCCTGCAGCCCGCCGAAGACCCGCAACGCCCGCACCACCGCCAAGCCGCGCACGCCCTCGCACAAGCGCGGCGCGCGCGACGCCGGCGCGCGGCTGCACCGGGTGCTGGGTGCCAAGATCTCCAAGCCCAGCCGCTCCACCAAGCCGCTGACTCTGCCGGAGGACATGGAGCTCGCCACCACCAAGAGGGCCGCGCGCGGCGCCAAGGCGGGCGACCAGGTGGGGGCCGCGGCGCGAGCTTCCCAGCCTGTCACGTGGGCAGCAGACGCCCGACGGGCGGGTCGCGCGCGCGATCGACGCACGCCCGCTGAGACAGGCGGTCGACAGGGGCGGCCTTTGCCAAATAGCCGTCGATGTGTGACGCCGTCGACGCCGCCTCGGTCTGTCCCTGCGCGCTCCGATTTGCGCAGGCACCCGCGGCCAGCCCCTACAAGTCCCTGGCTGAGAAGGTGCACGACTTCCAGTCCAAGACGCCGCAGCGCTTCAGGGCGCAGCCCAAGGGCGCCGCGGGCCAGCGCACCGGGTCGGCGGGGGCGAGCAGGGGCGGGGCGCGGCAGCAGGCGCAGCAGCAGCAGCAGCAGCACCAGCCGCAGATCACGGAGGCCAAGGTGCGTGGCTCTGTTTGTGAGTGTGTGTGCGTGCGCATGTGCGTGTCGTGGACGACGTTGTTGGTGCACCTGCTAATTTGGAAGGGTGAGGGACTCTTTGCAGAAAGATGGAGCACCGCAAACCCACAAGGGCGTGCCATGGGACATGCCTGGTCATGCGCCCTCCTGGGGCCGGGCAGACTCCTGCGCGAAGCATCGCTGTCGCTCACCCGCGCGTGTATCCACGCGGTGCTGCGCACATCTGTGCAGACGCCTGTGCTGTGGACGTCCACGCGCGCGCGGCCGCGGCGCTTCAAGACGCGCGAGGAGGAGGAGGAGGAGGCGATGCAGCACGAGAGGGAGGCGGGCTTCCACGCGCGGCCCGTCGAGTGAGAAGTCAGGGCGGCGGGGAGAAATGGGCGGGCGGCCAGCAAGCATTTGCCCCCACATTAGGCCTCTCAGTCATGTACGCCGGACCTGAAATCGCAGCATCTGCTTTATAGCAAACCCACCACTTACCATCTCACTCCCCACCGCACCCCGGCAGCCCCGCGGTGATGAGCGGCGCCGCCGCCGCCCGCACCAACCCGCCGGACGCCGCGCGGCGCCCGCTGACGGAGGTCAAGCCCTTCGCGTTCGCCGTCGACCGGCGCGCGCTGTCGCGCTCCCGCGGCCGCGCGTCTGTCGCCGATGGCGGCGGCGAGGGGCTCGCACGGGACGGGCCGCAGACGCGGCTGCGGGCGTCGCAGGCTGGGGGCGGCGGCCGCAGCATCCTGGACGGCGGGGTGGGTGGCTTCGAGGGTGCCTCTGCTTGGTCAAAGGGGGCTCTGCCTTCTCACACACGGCTAGGTGGCGTGGATTGTGGTTCTGGGCCCCCTGCATGCCAGACCCTGTTATGCGGGGTGCTTTTGAGAGCCCAGTGCCGCCAATCAGCACACCAACCCACGCCTCGACATTCAAACAGATCCTGGGCGCCGCAGCGCCAGGCGCCGGCGCCGGCGCGCGCCCCAACCGCCCGGTCTCTGCCGGGCGGCAGCGGCCCGCGGCGGCGGGGCAGGAGCGCCCGGCCTCGGCCGGGCGCGCGCGGCCCAGCCTGACGATCCCCAAGTCGCCGCTGCTGCGCACCAAGATCCGCCACCACTCGGTGAGCAGGGCTGCGGCTTCAATCATAGCAACAGCTGGGACCGCAGAAGTGCAAAGGCGGCCAGGCCAGGCCAGCTACATTGTTGGTGTTGGGGAACATCAGGCTGAGAGCCGCGATCTGTGGGTGTGTTCTATCACCGTGGACTCCCCCACCTCCTGCCGCCGCCCTCCCCGCCGCTTTCCAGCCGCCGCAGCAGCGCGCGCTGCCCAAGACAGAGTTCAAGGCCCGCCCCGCGCCCACCTTTGACGCCATTGGCGCCACGTGAGCGCCCGCCCATCGGCGCCGCCGCCCCGATCCACATGACAGTTGCACACGCGACAGCCCAGCCCGCACGTGACGTGACGTGGCCTGTGTCGGCGCACGATGCTTTCCTTGCAATCAGCACCCTCGGTGCACTTAGGCGTCCATTCAGGCGCCTTGCCCCCCAAAGTATGACTCACCCCTCCTCGTCCTCGCCCCCCTGCACCTCCTCCTCCTCCTGGCCCCAGTGCTGTGCCCTACGTGCCCCCCAAGGAGGTGACCCACCCACAGCCGTTCCACCTGATGACAGACGACCGCCACAGGCAGCACGAGGCGCAGCAGCGCGCCAAGCTGGAGGAGCAGCGCCGCATGGTGCGCTCCACGCGCCTCGCGCGGGAAAGGGGACAGGGGATTAGGGTGTGAGGGGTGCTGCATGCCTGCTTGAGCGCCCTGAAATCAGGTAGACTTGAGTGCAGTTTTCAGCACACAACGCCGCTGCTGCTTTCCTTCTGCTCACGTCGTCCCAGGAGGAGCGCAGGCGGCGCGTGTCTGCGCGGCCGCTGCCGCTGACGACGGACATGCCCGCGGTGCCGCCGCGGCCGGCGCCCAGGGAGCTCACGCTGCCGGCGCCATACAGGTCTGACGGGACGCGCAGCGGGGCTGGCGGGGCTGGGCAGTGGCGCTGAAGTCGCCATCGTCATCAACGCACGGCTCGGCTGCGATGAATCGGGGGTGTTTTGCGTTTGCAGCACAATCTGTGGGCTTGAGCACAGGAGAGTCAGGGCTTCTGGGGATGTAGGACGAGCGTGCGGCGCGCCGTTCGCCGCCCTCCTTTGCGTTTCGCACAGGCTGCGCAGCGAGGCGCGCCACATTGACGCGGTCCACAAGCACCAGGAGGACCTGGCGCGCGAGGAGGAGGAGCGCCGCAGGGCCGCCGAGTTCAAGGCGCGCGGCTTCCCGGGGGGGATAGCGAGCTCCCATGCGCCGCTGTAGAGGCGTGTCCGCGGTCAAGGCATCCCAAAGGACCCGCCTTGATCGCGCAAGGAGCTGCCGTAATGGTGCCTTGCCACCTGGCAGCGCCCACCTACCCATTGACATTGCTGACACCGCACCTATCCCGCCGCATGATATGACATCTGGTAAGCATTCCATCACCACCGCGCAGGCGCGCCCCATGTGGGCCGGCAAGCCGTTTGCGGTCCACGAGAGCGACGCGCCGCTGACCGTGCCGGACGACGTGGTGCTGGCCACTGAGGAGCGCGCCGAGGACCGCGGGGAGTTTGACCGCGCGGTGGCCGACAAGATGCGCGCGGAGGAGGTGGGGGGCGATTGCTGTCCACGGGGGAGGGGGGGCTGAAGGGCAAAGCCCTGATTATAGGGCCTCCGAGGGTGGGTCGGCGTTGATGCTTGCTTCCTGTGTTGCGCAAGGGGGCATCGCAGCCGGCAGACGTGGCTGAGGGCGGGGCGCATGCGGGACGAGGGCCGGGCCCACCGCGCTGCCATTTAAGCACTGCGGCCCTGGACCTGCAGGAGGAGCGGCGGCGCCAGGAGGAGCTGAGGCAGCAGTGCGAGGAGGAGGAGGAGCGCGAGTACCGCAGGAGCCTGAGGTTCAAGGTGCGAGCAGTTTGTTTGGCAGGGCCCATGCGAGTACAGCACGGCACACTGGCGGCCCTAGTCGGCTCGCATGGCTGTGTAGCTGCCCTGATGCGGTGTTGACAAGGAAGCCGAGGGCTTGAGCGTCGCAGCGAAGGACCCTGACGCATCCTCGTTCCCTCGTGCACCCTTTGTCACTGCAGGCGCGCCCCATGCCCAAGTTTGACCAGCCCTTCTTCTCCCGCCCGAGCGAGAAGCCCCTGACCAACGCCCAGACGCCCGACTTTGCCTCCAAGAAGCGCGCGCGGCGCGACGGATGAGGCAGCCGCCGGCCGCAGGGCACGCGGCATCGCAGGCGTGCATCAAAACCGGCGGCGTCGCGCAGTGGCTTCTTGGATGGCTTTATGTCGACAAACATGACTGGTAGAAGGCGTGCATGAAGGATGCAGATGACTTGGCAGAGCAAGGCAGATAGGATAGGATGACATTGGCCCGATGCAATCCCACGACATCAGGACAGTTCTATGACACCCTGCTCAATCCGCACCAGCGCTGGCACCCCTGTCAGCGGCTCACGCCTGACCACAGGGAATCCAGGGGTTCGTGCTTGTGATTCCGTTTCGGATACGACCCTGTGCCTGCAATGCCTTGCTAGATATGTGCAGATCCCCTCCCTTCTGCGTTCTGAGGCGTGCGTGACACTCTCAAGCTACTGTGAATGCGGGAGTCCACTGGTAGTTAGTGGTTTGTAACCGTCACTTCTGCACTGCTGAGTTACTTGCCATGAGCCAGGTGTGCATCACACAGCACCTCAGTGCCTGCTCTGTTGCGTGCAGTCAGCCGGCAGTCTGCATGCCAGCGACTCGAGGGGAACGAAAGCAAGAGCCTTTGATTCGAGCGTGTCTGCAACAGACATGTATGCACGTGGCGGCTTGCTTTTGAATGCTCGCCATGCAGCGCCAGCACCTCTGATCATGCGTGCACCTAGAATAGGCGCCAGCCATCGCAAGCACGCTTCACGCTGCACAACTGCAGCGACCCTTGCAAGCTTCGCTGCAGGATAGCACTGCCACAGTTGCCACAATGGCAGAGCACAACAAGGCGCCTCCCAGTTGTTCAAAGCGTCAAGGAAGCAATCAGGGATGCTGTGGGACGGGTGCAGAGCCGGGTGGGAGTGCTGTGGCGGCAATGCTGTCGCCCGGCAGCAGGCCAGTCTAGACGGCCCCGAGCCGGCTGGCTCTGCGCGCTTGTGAGACCCACAGCAGCTGCGCCTACTGCCAGGCAGGCCCTGCACATGCGCCAAGGATGGCATGGGCATGTGGGTCGCGAAGGATGAACAGGCTGTGCCTTGGTTTGTGCTGTTGTTCAATTGTCTGCAGCCTGCATAGCGGAAGTCTACTCGCACAGCATCGATGTGTATACGCCTCATGGACGTGACAACATTCAGGATCACAGCTGTGTAGCAGCGCTGGAAATGTCCTGTAAAGCTGGAAGCTGTCATCTTCCAGACCTTTTCAAGCTGCCGCCGCTCACGGAGCCCACCCCTCCTACAGCCCTGCGGCCCGCAACGCCAGGCCCGCCGCCAGCGCCGCAGTTTGGCGAGCTCCTGACCAGCGCGCCCATCCCCGCGGCGCGCCGCGAGGCGCCATGAGGGCTGCCGCCGCCCGACGGCGGCCGCAGTCCGCCGCCTGCTGCGAAAGGTCCGCCGCCGATCGCCGTGCCCTCCAAAGCCAGTTCGTGTGCGCCCGACATGACCAGGGTGCCGGCCTGGATAGTGTTCACCGACGCCCCGGCGATGGCCCCGCAGCTGCCGCCCACAACTGCCACCGCCTGCTGCTGCAGCAGCTCAATGCTGACGCCGGTCAGGCCGAGGCCGCCCTGGTTAAACATTGGCGGGGCGATGAGTGGGCAGAGGCATGCATCAGCCTATAGTCGAGGGTCATCATGGGGCACGGCTCTCCAGCAAAGCACTTGGCGCCCTCCACACATACCCTCACTGCCCACAGCCAACCGCCCTCGGCTGGGGCAGGCAGTCCCCGGTTTCCATGCGTGTCTCACCTTCAACCCCAGCGCCCCTGCACCGCCGCCGCCGCCACCGCCTCCCCACAGGCCGAGCCTGTCCGGCAGCGCGGCCACCCCAGAGCCCGCCAACAGCTCCCTCAGCTGCTGCAGCTGCGCCGCCGTTGCCGGGCCCGCACCCGCCCCCGCCATGGCGCCCTGCTGCATCCCCGTAAGCCCGGTCTGCATTGCTAGGAGCGCCTGCGCATAGGCGCGCTCCTCGTCGGAGACGGGCTGGCCATCGATCACAGACAGCTGAGGCGCCCTGAACAGCAGCAGCGGGCGGTGCGCCTGCGGGCCGAGGGCGCGCACCCGGCGGCAGCATGCGCGGCGAGGGCGGCGCAGCAATCAACAAATGCATGGTATGCAGCTCTGCAGACGTCATCTCGGAGCCGCATGCAGGCTAAAAATCACTGTTGCACCCAACACTCCTCGTCACAACCAGGGAACACTACGCCTTTCACCCGGCCACACCACACGACCCCTTGTTACGCACACCACGTCGCACCACACCTTACTTCACCACACTGGCCTCGACCTAACCGCTGCAATACCCCATAGCAAGCCCCATCGACGCACCGGCCGCCGCGCCACGGGGCTGCCCGCCAGCGCCACCTCCCGCAGCTCGCCCAGCGCCCCCACCGCCCGTTCCACTTCCACAGCGTCAGCCAGCCTGTTGCCTGCGGCCGACAGCCTCGTCAGGGCGGCCAGGCGGGAGGCACCCGCGAGGGAGCGGAGGCCGCAGTCGTCGATGCGGAGTTCGCGCAGGCGGGTGAGGGGCGCGAGGGACTCGGGGTCCAGGGACCTGTGTGTGTGTGTGTGTGTGTGTGTGCACGTGCACATGCGCGCGCAGCAGGGTAGTTGCTGAACAGAGAGGCTGGGCAGCGTTGGGTGAGGCGGGGCCCTGCGGTCTGCATAACGGGGTGGAAATCAGAGTGATCGATGGCGACGCCAGGTGCACCTGGTCCCCTTGAAAGTCCGGTGTGGTGGTGGATACTGGTGGACCATCGCATGGCAGCACTGCAGATTGCTGCATAGTGTCCCTGCTCTGCCTGAGAGTATCCCCCTGATCACACGTATAGATAGATCATCACACATGCAGATCACCCCGGGCTCAGATCACCACAGGCTCAGATCACGCCCCACCTGATCTTGTTCCTGCTGAGCACCAGCTCCCTCAGCCGCCCCAGCCCCTCCAGCCCCTCCGCCCTCGTCAGCTCGTTGTCCGACGCGTCCAGGCACCGCAGCCCCGGCAGCCGCGCCCCCAGCTGCAGCGGGCCCAGGGATGTCAGGCCGTTTGACCTGAGCTGCAGTACCTGCAAGGCAGGCAGCAGGGCAACCGACAACGCCAGCCCCGGCCCCGTCCCCGCCGCCGCCGCCGCAGCCGCCCCCACAGCGCCCACGCCGCCGGCTGCCGGCGCATCCGCCGCCGCGGCGGCGCCGTCCGCAGCTGCAGTAGGTGCGAGCTCGCGGCTGCTGCAGCCGCCGCTGCCGGGGCCGCCGTCCGCGGCGCCGCGCTCGCCGAGCCGGTTGCCGTTGAGCCGCAGCACAGCCAGGGAAGACAGCCCCGCCAGCGCCGGCAGCGCCGCTGCAGTCAGCTGGTTGCCGTCCAGAGTGAGCTCGGTCAGCGCCCCAAACGGCGTCTGAGGGGCGGCGCCTGCGACCACGGCTGCGCTGCCGCCGCCGCCGCCGCAGCTTGACCCAAAGACCGTGCCTGTGTCGCGGATGCGCAGGCTGGACAGGTCGAGGGAACGGATGGCTGAAAAGGAGCCGGCGCCCAGCTGCTCCTCCTGCATTGAGGTTTGAGTTTGGGTTTGAGTCGCATTCGTGGTGGGTTTTGAGGGTGGGCCGCTTGGGCGGGGGTTTGCGGGGGGAGGCGGCTGGCTGCAGCTTGCCGCTGCGACGTGCTGTGCACAAGTGCCCCCAACGGGTAGGTCATCAATTGACCACCCATATGATGCAAATCACAGCTGCTCCGCACTGCTGCCCGGCGCCGACTACAGCACGGCACGTGCGCAAAGGTACAGCACCGCAAAACAGGATCAATCCCAGCTCACCAGGAACTCGATCGTGAGGCGCCCCGAGTAGCGGCCCCGCGCCGCCGCCAGCTCCTGCGGTGTTACGGGGGCGCCGTCCAGCACCTTGATGCGCCGCAGTGTGTACACCATCAGGGCGCGGTAGTCCTGCGGGCGCCAAGGTTTTAGCGGCCGCAGGATGGATCAAGTCAACAACCCAGTCAAAGTGAAGGGTTTTGCTACCAAAGTGAAGGCGGCATGCTACCAAAGTGATGGCGGGGATGCTTGACAGCAGCGACCGCGCGAGAGAGGTTGGGAAGAGGTTTCATCTTGACACAAGTATTCCCATTCCAACCCGCGGCTACTAATTGCGAGGGTTTGTTTGCCTCAAAGGGCCGGCGCACCTCCTTATCCGTGACCAAGGGGTTGCCAGTCAGATCCACCACCGCCAGCCCGGGTAGCTTCCCCAGCCGCCTTGATTCTGCCCGGAAGCTTCCCAGGGCGTTGCTGGCCGCGTAAAGCTCGATCAGTGACGTCATCGTGTCGACGCCGTCCAGGGACGGCAGGCGGTTGCGCTCGGCCGCGAGGCACTCGAGTGACGCCAGGGACTTTAGGGGCGCCAGGGTGGCAAGGCGGTTGCAAGAGATGTCGAGGCGGCGCAGGCGCACCAGGCGCGAGAGGGCGTCCACCTAGGCGCGAGGCGAGGCGAAGGTAACGTGGTTGCATTGCATCACTGAAATTCTAGCAGGCCGGAGGCAGCTGCTGGGGTTGAGAGTTGGCATACAGCTTTGGACGACTTGCCAGACACCGCTTGTCAAACCCCCTGCCGTCTGTCAATGCCTGAGGCCAGCCTCTGTGGCAAGCCGACCCCCACTGTGACAGCCGGCGGAGGCGCACTTGCACCAGGCAGTTGTTGGACAGGTCAAGCTCTGTCAGCGCCGAGCAGCCCTGCAGGCCCTCCACCCCCAGCAACCGGTTCCCCGAAAAGTTCGCGCGGCGCAGGCGGCCGAGGCCAGCCAGCGAGGGCAGTGCGAGGAGGCAGCGGCCGGAGGCGCAGAGCGAGTGGGCTCGCGCCCGCCAGGCCCCGGCATCGGGTGGGCCTGCGTGTTGTGCTGCACGGGCCCCACCCATGCCTGTGATGCATGGGGTTTGAGGTCGTGGGTGCCTCAGCGTGCGAGCAGCCACTTTTTCTACCATGCTTCAGACACTCACATGCAGCCAAGGCAAGGACAAGGTCATGCGCCGGTTTGCAAATCACACGGGCTTGACAAACGCCCACATCAAGCACCTGTAACACACCTGGAAGGTCTGTGTGATGCCACTGGGTCACACACTGCCAAAGGTCGTCGCCGCCCGTTTTCCCACTCCCCTCGCCCACGGCCGTCAGCCCCGCCGGCCCCAAGGGCTGGGCGGGGGCCCCATCGAGCACGCGCAGCCGAGGCAGCTGCATGAGCAGCAGCGGCGTGCAGGCGGCGTCCGTGGCGACAGGGTTGCCCTCCAGCACCAGCTCCTCGAGACCCTGCAGGCAACTGCGGGGCGGAGCGATGTGCGGTGTGTGGGATGGTGCCGCACACTGATGAACAACTTGCAATTTTCCAAGCCCTGTGCCCTTGTTACACTGTTGCGCCCCCTCCCTGACTGCAGCCTACATGCAACAAGGCACGCTTCATTGCACCATGCTGCAGCCCTAGCCAGCTACTCTGTAGAGCCATGAACGCCGGGCGCCCTTGCCACCCCAACTCCTCCGACCCTTCGTCTCCCCCCAAAAGACACACACACACACACACACCACCAAGCAGGCACGCACGTACCAACACAGCAGCCCACCTGGCAATGGCAATGGCGTCCTCCAATGAGTCCAGGAGGTTGAAGCCCAGGTCCAATGACGTCAGCAAGGAGAAGCTTAGCAGGCACGCCCCGTCGGCGCCGTGCAGCGCGGCGACGCGGTTATGGCCGAGGTCAAGGCTGCGCAGGCCTGGCGCAAGCGGCTCGAGAGCCTGCATGCGGGCAGGCCCGGCAATGAGGAATGTTGCGGATGGAATGCACAATCAAGTGCTTGATTGCTTTAGGCTGGAAATAATGGAAGTGCAACATCCCAACACCGGCCGGTTTGCTGCAGTGCTGTCACTGGTGGGCAAGCACCAACCCTCTGGGCAGCAGGCGCTGGAGAGCAGCAGACGGACCACCCCCAAAGCAGCACGGCGTGGCTGATGGACAGCATCCCCACCTTCAGGCCTGTGATCTCATTGAAGGACAGCACCAACGCACGCAGGCTGCGCAGCGCACCCAGCGGCGCCAGGTCGCCGTCCCCCAGCCCGCAGCAACTGACATCCAGCCGCACGACGGCCGCGCCCGCCGCCGCGAGGAGCCCGCCCTGCAGTCGCCGCAGAAGCCGCGCGGCCGGCGCGGCGCCGGCGGCCTCCTCCAAACGGCGGCCGACGCCGGAGTCGCCTCCGAGTTGGCCGCTCGCCTCACTTGCTTCAGGCAATTCCGACTCGACGCGCGCCACAAGCGCTTCCCATCGCGCCTCCTCCTCTGCCCACGACCTTGCGAGGCTTAGCTCCTCCGGCCGCTGCTTCTCAGCGGCCGCCAGCCAATGCAGCAGCGGCGCCGCCACGCCGCGCATCGCGGGATCGCCCACAGACTTCTCCGCGGCGGCTAGCTCATGCTCGCTGACCTCAAAGCACGCCGCAGCCCCCGCGCCGCCAGCCGTGGCGACGGTGGGGCCCGCGGTCGTCAGCAGCGGCGAGCCTGGCGCCAGATCATAGTCAAACGTGACGAGGTATTCCGGTAGCACCGCCGAGGGGTCGAAGACGTAGTACGTACGATGCTTTTGCGGCTGCTGCTGCGGCTGCTTGTGGTGGTGGTGAGAGGTAGGCGGCGGGCAGGCAGGCACTGCGTACACTGCCGTGGCACCCGGGAACACGCAGGGCATCACGCGCGCCGTGCCGCTGCTGCCCCTCTCACGCCCCAGCCCCGTGGCCCCGCCGGCCTCGCACAGGCGCCCTCCAAGCCGCGCCTTGCAGACCAGCAGCAGGCCGGGCCCGGCCGGCCCGCCGCCGTTGCCGATGCTGCTGCCATCCTTCGCCATCCCGCTTGTCAGCCGCCGCGCGTCTGCTAGGAGGACGCTGCTGTGTAGCACCACCGCCTCGTCCAAACCCAGCTCCCCGTAGCGCTGCGGCTGGAAGCCGCCCTGCGCCGCAGCCATGAGCTCGCCTGCGCGCAATTGGGGTCCAGTAACTTCAAGTGTGAAGGGTGGACATGCATCAGCTGCCGCGCGCGGGCTGGCGCCGGCGGTCAAACGTGGTTGGCAGCACCAGTTTGACCGCTGCCCAGATGCGCGCGTGGGCGGGCCTCACCCTGCAGCTCCGGGTGCTCGCCGACAAACAGGTGCTCCACCGCCCGCGCCGCGCCGCTCGCCGGGCCGCCGTCCCCGCCCGCCGCCTCAAACTGCGCCCGCAGGCCGCGGTTGTGCACCCTCAACACACTCAGCACGCTCAGCCCAACAACGCCCCCCGGCGCCGCGCCGCTGCCGGCCCCAGGGCCCGGCGCCCCGAGCCGCTCCCGCAGCATCGCCACCAGCGATTGATACCACGCCTCTTCCCGGCGCCCCTCCTCGAGCCTCACGTTCCCGGCGCTCTCCTGCTCCACCCGCAGCCGCGCCACCACCTCATCCGCCAGCCGCAGCGCCCGCCGCCGGCAGGCCGCGAACGCTGACTCAGCCGCCGCACGCCGCGACCGCAGCTGGAGGACCGCCTCTTGCAGCGATCGCAGGCAGGCAGCGCGGGTCTCGCCATCGCCCGTAGCCGCTGCGGCTGTTGATGTGGACCGGCCTTGCTGCTGCTGCTGCTGCTGCTGCTGATGCTGCTGCTGCTGCTGCTGCTCCTGCTGCTCGTCCTCTAGGCGCTGCCGCAGCCGCGCGGCCTGCCGCTGCAGGCGCCTCTGCGTGGCGTCGAATCGCTGGCGCAGCAGGCGCAGGCCGCCCTCCGCACGCGCCTCAAGGTCCCCCGCGCCGCGCCGCACGGCCCGGGCCCTCATGCTGTAGTATAGCTGCAACATGGGGAGTGTGGCGTGCCACTGTTTCAGCCGCGGCCTTGACAGAACCTTCTAGATACAACACCACTATTGCATACGTGAGATTCCACTGCACATGACAAATTTGATGACCCGCAGTATTCAATATCCCAGGCATCCGTTGTTTGCTGATGCATGGTGTATGCCCCTCTCTCAACCGATCAGCACGCGCACCTGCTTCTTTGCAAGCGTCGCTGCGGCGGCCGCGCGCGACTCCGGCGCGACCACCAGAGTGTCCAGCGCAGTAAGGCGGCCCAGCGCGCACAGCGCCGAGGTGTGGTAGTTGGGCAGGGAAGCTGCCGGGCAGGCGCCCCACATGGGGTCGTACAGGCACAGGTCGTCTAGGGCGGGCAGGCGGGACAGGGCCCTGAACTCCTGTGGGCGAGAGAGGGTCACACAAGGGTCACATGGCAAACAGTAGCAGCACGCGAGAAAAGAGACTCAGATCAGCATCAAGCCATGCTGCTTGCTCGGCTGCAGCATTGGCCTTGAACTTGAGCCGAGCTTCCTGGGTGGCACGCCAGCCAGCAAGCGTGAGGACCATCGGCTACCATCGCCAGGCGTTGCAAGGCCACACCTCCCCAGGCACGCGCCTGGAAGCTGGCTACGCGGTTGTCCGCCAGGTTGAGCCTCCGCAGCGCCGAGCAGCCGTCCAGCGCGCCGCCTACGCTGCACACGTCGTTGCGGGCTAGGCACAGGCCGCGCAGCCGCCCGAGGCCGCCGAGGCCCTCGATCCGGGATATGTGGTTGTCGGCTAACGACAGCACCTCCAGCGCGGTCAGCGCCTCCAGGCCAGTGGTCTGGGTCAGCCTGGGCTGGGTGTACAGCGGTGCCAGGCACGGGCGGCAGGAGCGTTACGGTTTTTGGTGGTAAAGGTGGGAACAGGCCTGTCCCTCATCATTGCTGCAAAGTTGATGCGTGAACAACCCAGGGTGAGGTCGGCCCTGCTTCCTGCCCTGACGCATGTGGCTGCCCCCTGCTGCTGATGGTTGGTCGGCGGTCGCGCTGATCTTGGCTGCAAACAGGCTGGGGGCCGGCTGCTTGCCTGTTGCTATATACATACAACTCTCTCAGCCGCAGCAGCGCCCCCAGGCCGCCAAGCGAGCCGATGCGATTCTCCGGCAGCCACAGCCGCTCCAGCGCCCCACAGCCCTGCAGCCCCTCGATTGCGGTGATGCCCTGCGCGGTCCGTGTGGGAGACCGTGCACTGTTTGCGCCGCGTGCATGGCTGGCAGCGTGGTGCACCCTGCTCGCCGGTTGCTTGTCGTGGGGTCAAATGGCCTGCCACCTCGCATGTCACAGCACCATGCAGTCTCCATGTGCTGCACGCGCATCATTGCCCGCCAGTTGCCATGCGCCGCACACAACCTCATTGATGTGTCCATGCATGAGCCGCGCCTGGTCGATGAGTTGGAGGGTGGTGAGCGCCGGGAACATGCGCAGCGCCAGCATCTGCGGGGTTGGGGACGTGAGGACGCGGACACCCCTCAGTTGGCTGCTGCTCGGCATGGCAACGCGGCGCCGTCACGTACGCAGGGAAATGGGGGCAAGAAGCAGCCGCCATGCAGCACCATGCAGGCGCTGCATGGCGCAGGCATGCATCAGACCTGGTCACTCAAAAGCTGCCGACGCCCGCGCCAACCGCACCCGCGGGTACTCATGCAGGAATAGCTCCAGCTCCTTGATGCCCGCGGTCCCGCCCTCCGCGCACACCTCCTCCAGTCCATTTGATTCGATGATCGCATCAAAGGCTGCGCCAAGGGCGCGGCATTTGGACGAGTTCCATGCACCAGCAGGAGAGCTACTGATGCTGCGGTGGCGGTCGGGCCGTCGCCATCATACAGCACACCTGTCCTCTCTTCATCGGAGAGCTGAGATAGTTGCTCCTCCATCGCCTGTTGTATTGATTTTGCCATCAGGCGGGAGGACGTGAGTCGCCGGCAGATCACTGTGCAGTCAACACGGAATGAGTGAAGTCGGGGATGGATTATATGGGAAGTTTTGTATTTGACACGGCCCACCACTCATGAGCTCGGTCAGCTTGCGGGTCAGCGACCCAGCTGAGGTCGCGTGACAACAAACACGGTACAACAAATTATAGAACAAGGAGACGTGTGCCATCACATGATATGACAGCTGCTGCGGATGCACGAGTGTCTGTACCGAAGTGCTGCATTGGACATTGGGAGAGCGCAGCCTGGCTGGGTGGCTGGCCACCACCACGGCACCAGAAAGTAAGTCCATGCTGAAGGCCGCAAAAGAAGTTACACAGGGGGCGACACGCCTTGGGACTCTCTTGAGACAGATATCCAAAGGAAGCCAAGGACTTCACCGCTCATGTGCAGCCAAGCAAGATCAGAGCGGGATCAAGGCGTACGAGGGTCTGGACACGCAGTAAGAACCAGGAAGAAGGTGAAAATCCCCACAGCCGTGTGGCTGGGCAGAGCCGGAGTCGAATGCCATAATTGCTGCGTGCATACGCATACGCGAGAGAATCGGCAAGCAAGAAAGGGGCGGGTGGCAGTGGCCGCGTCGTTTCAACCCCCCCACAGACCACAATCAGCGCAGAAGACCCGAGCTGCATCACGTGGAGCCCGGCAAAAGGATGTTTGCAGGGATCGGCGCGGTCAAGGACGCAAGCGCCTCCAGCTGCAGGGCCCCTGTCAGTGCGGCCACGTTGCTGCCCACCGCCGCACCGCCCTCCGCCGTGTCTGCGCCGACCGCCACA